GTGTAGTGTTATATCTTAAACAGTTTAATAATCATTGACCATGTTCATCAGGTGAAACACGTCTGTCCAATAAGTATGGATAGTCTTTAAGGTATTTTCTGTAAAATGTATAGCGATCATTTTCCCAACCGACTTGCTCATCGTCATCGTTAATTTGTTCTTCATTGCAACAATAGCAGTTAGGAGAAAAGTAATTGAGTTTGAAATGTCCGGGCCAACAATTTACACCATAAAGGCTGTCACATAATTCTCTTTTTTGTGTGGTCGACCAACAATTATGACCGCAAGAATTCACATCTGAAATTATAATAATCATAATACACAAATAAATATAAAATTTAAACATTTAAAAAAAAAAAAAAAAAACAACAACAGTTTAATATGTAAAATGTTAATCGGAAACTGATAAAAAATCTGGTTAAAATATCATTATTTATACTCCGAGTTATCTCACCATACATTAATTCAACAATAATATAATAATATCTAGAACAAATAAAGGTCAATAAAAAAAAAGGTGGTACAATAATTTATAACCATAAATAATATATATTTATTTATTATCTATACTTGTATAACCTTTTTAAGCTAATTGCACGGAACTCATAACTCCCCCCTTCACTATCGTATGTTGCTGTTATGACAGCTTTAAATTAATAGTGGATAAATACAAATGGTTTAACGTATCAAAATTCTGTTACAAGTACAATGACAATCATTGGTAATGTCTTGAAAATTAATATTATTGTTATGATATTACGGATCGTGCAATATTGCCGTATCATTTATAATTATTTATAATTATTTAAAAACAGAAAAACCACAGAAAATTAGAAATGACAATAATAATAATATATACCTACTAACTAGTAATTAAATTAAAATTAAACCAAAATTATATATTGTTAGATGGCTGAATGTTAGCTGCAATTTTAATATTAGACATTAGGAAGGATTAGTTTGTCCTTGGGACCCATAATTTCTCTCCACAGCTTTGCGCTCAGAATTTAAAAGTAATTTGGTTACAGCCCCGAGCTGATAATATTAATGAAAACATGACGACGAAGATGATTTCATTATACCAGCATTTCAAAATATCACGCTGTACCGCCTAAAAATATAGTCTACATTATGAAATTACAAATTAGCCAAAATAATACACATATAAATGACACCAAACACATCATATTATCCGTTATCGACCATTGAATGACCACCAAATGAACGAGATTTAAGGCGGGTGATAATAGTAATAATATTTTATATATTGTGTATATGACGACCATGTGACCAAACAGTTGTTTGTCTATTTTTATAATAATCATACGGGTGCCTACATAAAATATAATAAAGACTGGTACATATATATATATACTACTTTTAGTTAAAAATAAATAAATAAAATAATACTAGTTAAAAAATAACAATACAATAAATGCATTTTTTTTTTTTATAAAAAAAAATACCCAAAAATGACGCCAAATGAATATATTATGACTGACATATAGATTTTTTAAATGCGGTATAGTTTCATTTCAAAACAGTTTACAGTGAAATATTTAATAATTCCGATTTATGTGAACTACATTTCTTAGCTCTGTAAAAATGCTCAACATGATCTACACAAAATTTTAAATTAGGTACAACATAAGTTGTATTTACATAAAAAAAAAATTTGAATGTAATATTGTTATTTCTTTTTGTTCATATTTATATTAATTTAAAGATAAAATAGAAAACAAAAATATGAAAAACGTGTTAGCAAAAAAACCCTTGTTAAAATCCCTGAAAATAGGATTAGGGGATTTTAGAAGAATTCATTATTTTATTTTATTTACATTTATCAATGGTATAGTAAGTGTGTTAGTGTGATGGTTTCAAAATATGAAATAGAAACTTTCATAGACTCAAAATTATATTAATCAAGAATAATAATATAAGAAATATTTTTTTTTTTT